CCCTTGCAGCAGTGGAGGTTGAAGCCAATTCATCCTCTCTTGCAGCGCTGCTCTTTTAACAGCAACAAGAAAGCAGTCTTTCTGCTTTAATTAATTCAGGTCATTATGCTGTTCCCCAGGGCAGGCAGAGAGGGAGGGAACGGAAAAGGACAGAAAAAGAGCAGTCAGCACCGAACAGGGGCGACGCATTTGCATCCACAGAGCTGCCAYAAATTCCTCATGTCAAAACCAAACTGCTCTTGGTTTTGYTCAGCTGAGCACATATCCMCCAGCCATTTAACTTTCACTCACAGAGCCGTGCAGGCTTCYTTTTMTGCTTACAAACAGATTCCATGTTACACTTGTACTCCGGGGCCACATTAAAAGGCTCCCAGGAGCAGGCCACGAAGCAAAGCCTGACCCAGAGAAGCCCTGCTTCCTGACCCTCTGGAACCTCACCCAGCGCGGATAATGGGGAAGAAAGAGGAGCAAGCAAAGGGGACACCYGCCCCCTGCTACGCTGGCTTCCATGTTTGGGTCACTGGAAACGGTAAGCCAATTTTTTGAGGCCAAATTCTTTCAAGAGGGAGCAGCAGATGTTTTTCACCCCGATGACAGCGGTGTCTTGCTCTCGTTAATGTGCTCTCCTCCTCTGCTGCTCCGCGTGGCAGCAGCGAGCGCTCAGCCGAGAGCTTTGCCGCCTTCCTTCCAGCCTGTGATTCCCACGAGGGCTATAGGCTATTCTGGCTCCAGTTTCTCCCATCCTCATSTTGGCAGAATAGGAGGGTAAATAATCTGGTATTTGGCCTCAAAAGTTCAATTAAGTGGCTTGTTCGAGTGAGGCTGCACCACGTCCTCCTTCAGGTCACTCCTGCCCAACTTCYCCGGAGCCTCGGCAGCTTTGTGGCCAGAGCWGGCGGGAGGGAGAGGATCCGGCACTTTGTGYCTTCCGCGTATCCTTCCTGCTCCATTCCAGAGAGAAAAGCACGTTCCCTCCCAGGGAGATAAGCAGYTTCTGGCCTTACCAGCACACATACAGTCTTAGGGACCGAGGCCTGCATCTGATGCCTGCTCTCCGTGTATCCCACAGTCCAATGATGCTGTCCACAGGCTCCTTTTGGCCTCAACCGTTTGTCTCTTCCAGGATTTGGCTTCCTGATCTCCGTATCTGCTGCTGAGGTAACTTCAGCAGSACTATTAACTTCCTAACACTGCAAGAGAGTTTCTCCTTTGTCTTTTGTTCCCTTTCCTTGGTATAAGCAGATCCTTGCCTACGCAATTGTTTTGACACTCACGATATTCTCAGCATTATCTTTTGCCATAGCCATTTCGGCAGCCCGTGTAATTTTAACAAACACCGAAGAGAATCAAGACGTTAAAGTTGACAATGGTATAATAAAAAATCYGCTTTTAATAATGAACTGGAGCTGCCGTCATCTTGTTTCAGCCCAGTCAAATCTCTCGCACCCCCCGTGCCGAACACTTTACAAAGCTATTACATAAAATGCAATGTTAAATGAACAACAAATTACTTTCTCTTTAGCTAGCTTTTAATGCTAATGGTGCTATTTATGCCTGACCTTTTGAAATATTAGATTTTTTAAATGACAACATGAAAAGAATTCTTGTTTGAAAACGCAAGCGACTTTAAACCACATGTTATTACTTGTAAGTACAGCATGCACATGCATCATTCATTTCGGTGTCCCATTTATAGCTAATTGGTATATATTTCAGTTGACATATATTGTTCTCCCGCAAACGTGTCAAATTCCTTAACGATGTCAGTGACAAAAGCATAGCGTTTGAGATATACAAATTATGCTCTTTACTATATAATCATTCTTATCTATTGGGAAGGCGATTGGTGACACATCATGTGCAAAAATACAAGCTAAATTGATTATTTTTTTAAACTTTAATATCCCACCATTCATGGCAAGTCTTTGATTGAATCTTTAAACGCAGGAATGTTTTTGTATCATTTTGCAGCTTGTGAAAAGCTCGCTTCATTGATCAAAGGAAGAGTAAGGGCAGATCTTAAAATGTACCTTTTGTTAGCTSGATTAGAAAACAAGGGGGCTATAATTGTGGTTTATGGAATGAGTAATTTGGTCAACAATGCCTTCTGCTGTAGTTTAAGTTTTATAAGTCCTGCAAGAAATTACTATTATTTTGTTGGTGGGCAGCACTGCAATCTGAATTTTATATGTAGCTGACCTACATGTTTTCATTACATTTTAGGTTGCCAAGGGTAATGTATTGCACTCGTATGCTACAAAGCACCTGAGGATAAACAAAAAAAAATCAAGATTTCACTTTTCACATTTCATTTCAATTAACACTGTCCTGTTGTTCAATATTGCGAACATAGTTCAGATTGGGTTGTCCTACTGCAATGCTGACTGTATCATTCATTGCTCCCTAAATGAGCAGGATAATCATGTTCTACCTTTCAAGATATATTTGCATTAAGCTTAAGTAGGCATTGATGAATTAATTCTCCTTCCTGAAACTCTTGGGACATTTCATTTTGGAGCCTTTTTACCTAGTCTACACTGACAGTGTTTATGGATGTATATATAGATTTCCTTTTCTTTCTTCTGAGGTGCTCCTTCAGAGTAAGAAATGGGAATTTTCTTATGTTTTGTTGCAGGGGTATTTTCTTCTAGAGTGAAAATCAAATGTTATTTAGCCACACTTTTATACCTCAGAAATATTTATAGTCATATTTAATTTCTCTACCAAAGCAGAAAGTAGTGGGAGCCAGAGGAAGGGTGAAGGTCGATGTGGTGCCCCCACAGCCCTATATGAAAAATACTGTTACTGGTGTGAAGATCACTTACCTCCAATTTATGCCCATATGCAAACAGAAACAAGAAGCATGGTACTCCTTAAATTAGTTGAAATACTGTGTTCATTTACACAGCAACACCTGAGCGATTACTGCATGCACGAGCACACCAGAGACACGTTATGCGAGGCCCAGAGATAAATGTTATATTCAGTGCCCCCTTTGTGCTATGTCCCAGGTCATTATTGTTGTGGTGCATAYGGTTTGAAAAATCTTACCTTTTTTTCTATTAAGTGGATAATAACTTTGCATCAAACCCATCTGGAAATGAAGGAAAAACTAATCCAAGATGTAACGTGCACAGCAYGGTGTTTTTCATCGGGTGGTTTAGATAAACATGGTCCCATCTCATGAGAAACAGCAGCTCAAGGGGCTGCGTGCAGAGGGCTCAGACTGRCCTGGGAATGCAGAAACGCAGCCCAGGTCACAGAGCTGCAGGGTGGCCAGTGCTGAGCGGAGAGAGGAGTGACTGCACGAAAGCACAATTCTCCTTTTGACCCACAGAGAAAGAGGTGCCTAATGAACATATAGGATCCCGGACAGCGTGAAGGTAACTGTCTGATCAGATAATGGAGTTGTTTGCAGTGATAAGAATGAATCCATTACTAATGCTAATAACGATAATAATTATAATTTGCAATACAGTAAGAATCACCTAGTCTACCTCCTCCTCTGACAGGAGACTGTATAATAAATTATAGGCTGAGGGAAAAAAATCAAAGGGATAAAGGTTAAAAGATTAAAAAAAAATCTGAAACTTAAATGCTTAACAGGGAAGTCAAGGCCTGAAAGCAGAAATTGGTGCTATTAAATAAAGCAATTGTGAAGAATGGGATATTATGGAATTGATTAACAAACCAGAAATCAAACCTTTCCTCCTATCACTACCTCTTGTCATAGATTTCAACAATTTTGAAAGAACAAAAGATTAAGTTGGCACATAATGAAAAAATAAATTATTTAAATGTGGGTGAATATGCTAATAATGCTCTAGGAAGATTAATATAATGTAACACAGAAAAATCCCTCAGGACAGCTCAGTAAATTAGGGGAATTTCACCGGTTCTTTCTGCTTTGCGTTGGTATCCAAAACAGGTTCAGTCGCTCCATCACTCCTGACCAGGCCTGGGGCAAAGGACCTTTGCAGACYGTGCATTTCTGAACGGTAGCTCTTTTAGGGGTTCTCATACCAAACCCCTAATCTCCTATGTGTAGGATTTAGGGACAAGTCCTTTCATCTTTGTGGGGGAATAGAATAAAAGAGATAGAATAAATCTTAAGTTTCCGGCTTTATACTACACATACTTGTCAAGTGAGCTGCTCTGTTGCTTGGAATAGTCCTGCTTCTACCATAAATTACGCAGAGCTGACAGTATTGTTATATAGGATTTTCTAAATCTTGGTGTCATCTCACCAGCTTATGAGGCTAGTGAAATGTCAAGATGTAAATCAAACAGAATCTATCAAGTATGTGATTCTCCCGCAGTCATCAATCAGCGTAAAACAGTAATTAAGTGATTGAGTCCCTGGGTGTTTCTTCCCACACCAGTTCAGATACCRGTTTCCAAAGTGCAGCATGTGCCATAAAAGTCCCAAAGGAAGAGATGGAGATTTTAGGACTGGGACTATCTGAGAGAAACCTAACGGCCGAAGTGCTGACCTCTAGTCAAAAGCAGGGATGGCTACCAGGTGGACTGGGTTTTATTCTTAGAGTGGAGCTTGGCTTCCTGCAGTTATGGAAACTCTATTTTATTGCATTTTCAGTCTGCAGTCAAAAGCGTTATAGCTCAGGGCCTCCTACCTGAATTCTTGSAACAAWCTTTCTGGAAATTTCAATTATCCATTCCAGCATTCTTCCTGTAGCTCCAAAGCTCAAAACACTTTGAATTAGTAGCACAACTATCTGGACTTCAGCRCTRTATTCAAGGGGAATGAATTTATCAAGGCAAATGACTAAAAGCTACAGGAGTACAAAACTGTATATGACTCATAACCGTAATTTGTGGTTACCTCATAAGCACAATATATATAAAAAAAATCCAAATATATGAGTGTAATATTAATTGTTGCAACAAGGCCGCGAGGTTTAAACACACACCCTTTACACTGCACAGAAGACCTTTAATCAATGTTTGCAAAAGGCAAAACCACAACGTGCCTCAGTTATTCACCTCACATTCGCTGCTTGCTGAAGCTTCAGCAGGGCCCTCCGCTTCTTAGTGAGATAAGCACCATAGGAGTCTTCTGTGTGTGAACACACAGAGCTGCTTCGGCAGAGATTGCCAAATGTCTTGCCAGCAATTAGATGTTTATCTGCAAGAAACCAGAACCCACTGTGTCATCCACCAAAATGGCCAGAATTGATTTTTTTTTTTTTTTAAATGGCCATAGGTCTACCAAATGTAATTGAAAGTCTTGGATTTAATTTAGAGAATAAGAATATGGGCAAACATATGCCTTCCTTCATTCAAAGGAATGAACTTCCATGAAGTTCCTGTGTCCTCTTGGTGTATGACATGATTTAAAAGCATTGAGGTGCAGTCACAGAGATTTAGAGCTCATATTATCTAAGACTTGACAAAGGTGAGGACAGTTAAATGCAAATCAACTGCCTGCAAATGTAGCATCACTGACAGAGCTTAAACTGAAGACAGTAAAAATTCTGGATGGATCTGCACAGGTTTAAAGAGAAAGCTAGAGAATTTGGCATGGATTTCTCCCCTCTATGAGAGGCTATGAGAGCCAGCACCATTTTCTTCTCCATTTTCCCACACCAGCCAGGTTTTATTAATCTTCCCTGTGTGCTGAAAAGCCAGTCTCTGCTTCATTCCTGAAAGCAGGACTGCAACAGGGTGACAATGACAAGTAGCAGTATCAAGCTCTAAATTTCTAATTTCTAATTAGAAATCACGCTCTATTTTCTAAAATTAATTTTTATTATCTAGATGATCAAGGATTTATCTGATCTTGTTCAGTTCATTTAAAATATCTCCTTTTACAGACTYACCGAGGTTATGCACAGCACTGAACAGCATCCCTAACAGCAAAGGAAAAAACCTAAAGACACAGCTAATACTGACTCCAGAGGAATGAAATGATCAATGCTTACGTGGGATGTGACCAGTGTATTTTGGCATCATGCCCTCAGGCCTGTAGAATCTTTGATAGGCGTGCGGTACTTTACGAGCTTCAATGTCATGTGTCTCACCTCTAAGACAAAACAGAACAACTACAAAATTAATTTCTATGTGCTTTGGAATGCCCTCATTTACAGTACCTGATTCTTCAGATGTTTCACCTGTTACCAGACTTAAATGCTGACCCTACTGCACTGAGCTGACAACGACATCTGTCCTCCTGCCTGCCTATTTGCTAAGGACTTCTGCAGGGACAAGGCACCTGTGTGTTCCCCAAACCCTGCAGTGATTGCTGCTATCCTGAGCCTTCTCTTTATGCATGGAACATAGAGAGAAATTTAACTGAAGGGAAGGGCGACACTGTAATTTTGCTTGTAAGGTGGCACAGGTAAATACTAGACACCTGCAGATSTCACGCAGGACAGCGTGGTGTGAGCTGGAGCAAGCTTTGCTATCAGGTAACTTCTTTGAACTTCACTGCTTTTGAGGATGCCACATGTACCATACGTGGTGTGTTGTTTGTGAGGGCGACATCAGCTCAGCACCAAGGTTGTTCTCTGTACTACAAAGGATAGGGATAAGCTCTATCCAGCATCCTCGGGTATGGCTCATGGCCAAAGGAAGTTTCTAGTGGAGCTACCCATCTGATTCCTCAGAGCCAAGGAAGTTCTCCATGTGGTATCAAGAGAGTCACACCTCTAAGTCCTTGGACTGCTGGGGCTTAGCAATCCAAACTGCCTGGAGTTCATGGCTGTCTCCCCATGCCTTCGTGCTGTAAAACCTCCTTGATCTCCTTCAGATCCTATCGCGACACACGGTGCTCTCCCGTGTGTGGCCCTGGCTCTGTGACTCCCCAGCTGATTTCTTCTGCCCCTCATGTTCAGTCCACTACCATTCTCCTTTCACTTGCTGGTTCTGCTGCAGGGTACAATATTCACCCAGCATCTTTCCTTCCTCTCTGTCTATGAGCACTTACCTCTGGGCACTGATAGGAGAATCATAAGGAACTTGATTTATTAAGTTCTTAAAATCCTGAAAACAATTTTTTGCCATCACACGGTAACGAACACCATGTCCCAGCTCAGTGACTCTTGCCCTAGGCACAAAGCCAGTCCAACCTGGGAGAGGGGGATCCAGTAAATTTCTCTCAGTTATCACAGTACCTGAAAAAATAGGGGGAAAAAAATAAATACTATGTCAAAATGACAACCAGCCCCTACAAAATTACATGTTGAATATTGAACAAAGAGAATTTCATAGTTTACATAAAGTATTTGTAGTTAATTGACATACTCCTCAAATACTTCTCACTATGTATTTCTGTGGCTACAAAGGACTCAAGAGCTTGGCTAAAAGCCAGAATGGGCTCAACTTAAATCCTGAAGTAAGGATGARCCTTTCTGTTGAATTTAATGAGCTCTGAAACAGTCCCTACATAGTGAAATTCGCCCGCACTGAAGTGTGTCAGTGTCATCTCCTCTGCTCTGTGGAAATTCTCAAAGAGGGAGTTGCCCTCTGCCTGTGAAACAGCTTCAATGGGCCACCAGTGATTCCCTGTAGCAGGATCCCACTTTTGTTTGCTGTTAAAATAGTGRTTCTGTTTGAACGCTAGAGGTAGCTGCTGCAAAGTGAAACATGCAGCAATACAGCAAGAAAGGGGCTAGTGAAGTGAYAGAATTAAGAGCTAAGATATAATATATAATATATATAACATATATAATATATATAATGCATATACAATATGATTGTGATATGTGATATATAATATATAATAATATGTAATGTCAAGGGTAAGAAGACAGAACTGTCATGAACATCAGAGCATCGATTTAGTCACTTCCCCACAAGCTACTCGGCATTCCTGACATTGGTTGGGATGCGTTTTCAGGATGGCAAAAGATGTTTTTTTTGCTGCAAGGAATTGCTCTTTGCACACAGCCAGATCTGTGTCCTAAAGCACAGGCTTTAATGCAAGTGCCTTCCTTGTTTGAACATCCACTTTCAGATCTCTACTTCGAAGGAACAGCAAGCACAAAATTTTACCAGACTTTTCCTCTCCAATACCTTGTGTCACTCCACAGGGTGCCCATCTACCAGGGCAGAGGAAAGGAAGAGTGAGAATAAATAAAACATAGAGTTTATTCCTAAACCAGTGATTTTGGACTTCAATATCCCAATGATACGTTCAAATAAGAGACATGACTGTGCAATCTGGAGCTATTGGCTGTTTATCTGCGCTGTAGCTGTTCAACATCTCTTGAAAATCAGGCAGCTCTTGAACTCAGCCAGGGGACCCCAAATCCATTCCACTGGATGTTTGGATGATATTTACGCTGCTAACGTAAGGGCGGAGAGGATCTCTTTGGGGAAGCTGGACACTCCTCTTGGAAGATTTCTTTATAAGTTGTTCAATTCAGTCATTATTAGCATCAGAATGGGAACACTGTCTGCAAATCTCAGTATGAAGCACTGCTCCATTTGGGAGCCTCTTTCAGCAAGGACTTSTGTAATGCCTGTAAAACTGATGTAGGATTCATACAAAATGCTTCCTGTCAAGATGAGACTGCAACTTCAAATATAAACATGCTCCTGTGAGAAAATCTGACAATTTAGAACCAAAACGTCTAGTGAAAGGGCCAGATTCAGGCAGTGAATGCACCTACGTGCAACTCTGCTGGAAATCAGAGCAACGCGCGGGAACACTGAAAGCAAAATTTGGTTCTTAATGTGTCCCTGAAGACTGTAATTATATTTCCCATTGTACTAGTAACATTAATTGAATGTTTAGCTGAAATCAAGTTCATTACAAGTTAAATACAGTACCTAGCCTATTAGGGTGGTGTTTATAATTATAGTCATAAAGTACTTGTAAAACATCTTCATTGCAGCAAATAGGTGGAAGTTGGGGTGTCGTGGCTGCTCTGCGTCGCAGCTCGTTCCTCGCCTCTCTGTGCCTCTGCGTCGCGTTGCGGAACAGGGTCACGTACACCACRGCATCGCCTCCGTAGCTCGTGCCAATGCTGCAGAACTTCAAGGGGATGTGGCCTGCAACAGTGAGCAAGCAATGGTCATTGCTGAGCAGGAGCAATGAGCTGCAGGATCTTACAAAACATTTCTACATCTACCAAGTACAAAGAGCTTGTAGATCATGTAGATCCTTGTAGACACCTGGTCACATTAAGTTACTTGGCCTGACCTCAGTTCCAGCCTCCAATGAGGCCTAAAGAGTACAGTCCTTTCTGCCAATGTTCATGGCTTTTCTTGGCAKTGGGGGAGGATTAATTTGAATAGATACTTTTTAATAATAGAACTGAATTTACTTTGTGTTTACTAAAAGTGCAATTTTTAAGCTTCATCGTCAATGGGTTAGCAACCATGATTCCATTAAAACAAACTGCACTATCAGAAAAGTATTTCAGGAAATCTCTCCAAGGGAACTGTCACCTTGTAAAAATCTATTTTCACTACAAGTGTGTCACTAAGTATGATGTTACAGCTCAGCCTGCAGAGCAGAACTCTGCTATATGCTAAAGAAATGTGCTTAAAACTCCCGTTGCTGCTTAGCTCTAGCCTGCCTCCTCCAACAAAAACCAGTTTGACTCTAGATTGACATACAGAGCTTACTAAGTTACAATTCTGATCCAACCTCTGTATGTGGCAAAAACTCATAGTGAAGTACTATAAAAAGTACTGATGTGCTTTGGTCTGTGAGATAAAAAGGAGAAGCCTTGATGGACTGTTGTATAGAGTAGAAATGTGGCCCATTGACCAGCTGAGCTGAGCTGGTTCTCCTCAGCTGAGTTGATGTTCTCCTCAGCAGAGCAATTCACTGCTGACTGGTTCTGCTCTATTTATGGGAGAGAGGAAGTCTGCACGTACAGCTCACCTGTGTATCCAGGTATTGGGAGATTTCTGGCATCAAAGTTTTTTCGGACAGAGATCATAACTGAAAGAAAGTGGATAATTATATCAATACCCATATCCCATTATATTATACCTTTTTTTCTTATATTAAGAAAAAAAAAACCCTTCAGTTAGCAGGCCAAATACAGCTTCTTTCCTGTTAAAAACACAGCAGCTCCTTCAGAACAAACTGAATCCTAAAAAATTGTGCTAGTGTGGCAATGCACAGAATTTATCCAATCAATAAATTTGATACTATTTTATTATTGCAGTTGATCTTTTTCATATCTGTAATTAAATAATGGATTCCCACTTTTCTCCCATTGTTTGGTATTAAGAAAACTGAAGGGAAACATCAAGTCACGTACGGGACTCACAGTGCGTACTGTCACAAAGTCTGTGTGCTCGGCATGGAGGCAGAGGGAGGACGGGTCACTTTTACCCATCAAAATCACCCTGTAGTTGTAGTTTTTACTGAGTAACATTCATGATTTAGACAGTTGAAGGGTAGTGATGCTGTGAAATTACCAGCACAGCACTACCCATGAGGTCACCCCACAAAGCTCATACGGAGGTGGGACCCACCCCGCCTCATGGCCGCAGGTTTGACCCTGACACAGGACCTTTCTGAGGCACAGCCGGTGTCGCCACTGGAGTCCCACCAGCCCACCCTGCCCCACACGCCCGCCCAGCGCCCCCACCTGCCCTCAGCAGCCCCTACTCAACAGAGCGACTGCCCTGTGGGGCCCCTCTCGACCTGGTGGCCGTTGGGAGCAACTCTGGTGGCCTTGGGAGCTCTGGTGGCAAAGGGGAGTTTCTGCGGTGGCCGTTGGAAGCTCAGGTGGCTGTTGGGAGCTCCCCTGGTGACCGTTTGGAGCTCTGGTGGCCACCGGGAGCCCCTGTGGCTGAGGGCAACCAGTGTCCTTCCAGAGRTAGCCCCGGGGCTGGCGCCATCCCCGATGTGGAAAGACCTTCTCGGAAAGGGCACTGGCATCACTGCCTTTCTGGTCTCCTGCACACAAATAACTGGGAGCACTGGGAGAAAAATGTGTCTGTGTTGGTGGAAACCTGGAAGCTTTGGAGCGGAACTCATGCACTGGCAGTCTTAAAGACATCGACATTTTTTTTAAAGATATTTACCCTTTTCTTCCACAGGCAACACCTTGAACGAATTATTTTAAATTTGTCCTTTGATAAATTTTGAAGATCATAGAATCCTTAAGGTTGGAAGGGACCTTTAGAGATCATCTAGTGCAACCCCCCTGCGCACGCAGGGTCACCTAGAGCATGTGGCCCAGGGCTGCATCCAAGCGAGTTTTGAAGATCTCCAGAAAAGGAGACTCCACAAGCTCTCTTGGCAGCCTGTTCCAGGRCTCTGGCACCCTCACTGTCGAGAATTTTTTCTTAAGTTCCTGTGGAACTTTTGGTGCTTCAGTTTGTGGCCGTTTCCTCTAGTTCTGTCAGTGACCCCAACTGAAAAGAGGGCAGCCCCATCCTCCTCCCTCCCTTGCGGTATTTATAGACACTGATCAGGTCCCCCCTCAGCCTTCTCACAGAAGCCTGTGCTTCTCCCAAGGGGCCTGTCCTTTCTTCCACATTCTATATACTGCCTTCTTCCGCTTGAGTTTTGCCAGGAGCTCCCTGCTCATCCATGCAGGCCTCCTGCCCCACCTGCCTGACTCATTATTCATAGGGATGTGCTGTTGCTGAGCATGGAGGAAGTGTTGCTTGAAAACTAACCAGCTCTCTTGCCTTCTGCGCCTTCCTTCTAGGGCCTTAGCACATGGGATTCTTCCAAGGAGGTCCTTGAAGAAGCCGGTTGGCCTTCCTGAAGTGYGTGGTTACAAGGCCACTTACAGCTCTCCTTCCTCCTTGTTGGCTCCTCAATTCCACCAAGTCATCACCACTGCAGCCAAGGCAACCCCCTACCTTCACATATCTCTATGAGTCCCTCTCTATTTGCTAGTACCAGGTCCAGTAGCTCACCTCACCTCGTTGGCTCCTTCACAACCTGTGTCAAAGCTCTCAATCCACTGCAGAAACCTCCAGTACTGTTTGTGCCTCGCAGTGATGTTATAGGTGTCAGGGTAGTTGAAATGTCCAATGAAAACCAGGACCTGTGACTGTGAGGCAACTTCCAGCTGTCTGCAGRAGGCCTCATTAACTTCCTCATCGTGGTCAGGTGGCCTCTAGCAGACACCCACCACATTGGCCTGCCCTTTAACCCTTACCCACAAGCTCTCAACTTGCGCATCATCCATTCCCAGGTTGGACTCCATGCATTCCAGTTGCTCTYTCACATAGAGTGACACCACCACCTCACCTTCAGAGTCTGTCCACTACAGTCATGTGAGCTATCACACCATATCTCTGTAAATCACAGAATCACAGAATGGTTAATGTTGAAAGGCACCTCTAGAGATCATCTAGTCCAAACCCCTGCTCCCGCAGGGACACCTAGAGACATTCCAATGTGATCATTATGCTGGGACGGCACTTTGATCTCCTGTTCATCCTGTTTATTCTCTGTGCTTCGTGCATTGGTATATAGACATTTAAGGGAAGTAATTGAGCCTGAACATTTCCTGGAAGGGGTGGGAGAGGATCCTCTATAACCATCCTATACTCACTTCACCAATACCATACTCCCACGGGGAACCTTCTGACTTTGGCTGCATGACATTGATTGCCAAATCAATGGGCAAAATATATCCAAAATATATATAAATATTGAAATAAATACACATYCATAAATATTGTCAGCTGAGACTAGGTAAAAAGGCTCCAAAATGAAATGTCCCAAGAGTTTCAGGAAGGAGAATTAATTCATCAATGCCTACTTAAGCTTAATGCAAATATATCTTGAAAGGTAGAACATGATTATCCTGCTCATTTAGGGAGCAATGAATGATACAGTCAGCATTGCAGTAGGACAACCCAATCTGAACTATGTKCGYAATATTGAACAACAGGACAGTGTTAATTGAAATGAAATGTGAAAAGTGAAATCTTGATTTTTTTTTGTTTATCCTCAGGTGATTTGTAGCATACGAGTGCAATACATTACCCTTGGCAACCTAAAATGTAATGAAAACATGTAGGTCAGCTACATATAAAATTCAGATTGCAGTGCTGCCCACCAACAAAATAATAGTAATTTCTTGCAGGACTTATAAAACTTAAACTACAGCAGAAGGCATTGTTGACCAAATTACTCATTCCATAAACCACAATTATAGCCCCCTTGTTTTCTAATCSAGCTAACAAAAGGTACATTTTAAGATCTGCCCTTACTCTTCCTTTGATCAATGAAGCGAGCTTTTCACAAGCTGCAAAATGATACAAAAACATTCCTGCGTTTAAAGATTCAATCAAAGACTTGCCATGAATGGTGGGATATTAAAGTTTAAAAAAATAATCAATTTAGCTTGTATTTTTGCACATGATGTGTCACCAATCGCCTTCCCAATAGATAAGAATGATTATATAGTAAAGAGCATAATTTGTATATCTCAAACGCTATGCTTTTGTCACTGACATCGTTAAGGAATTTGACACGTTTGCGGGAGAACAATATATGTCAACTGAAATATATACCAATTAGCTATAAATGGGACACCGAAATGAATGATGCATGTGCATGCTGTACTTACAAGTAATAACATGTGGTTTAAAGTCGCTTGCGTTTTCAAACAAGAATTCTTTTCATGTTGTCATTTAAAAAATCTAATATTTCAAAAGGTCAGGCATAAATAGCACCATTAGCATTAAAAGCTAGCTAAAGAGAAAGTAATTTGTTGTTCATTTAACATTGCATTTTATGTAATAGCTTTGTAAAGTGTTCGGCACGGGGGGTGCGAGAGATTTGACTGGGCTGAAACAAGATGACGGCAGCTCCAGTTCATTATTAAAAGCAGATTTTTTATTATACCATTGTCAACTTTAACGTCTTGATTCTCTTCGGTGTTTGTTAAAATTACACGGGCTGCCGAAATGGCTATGGCAAAAGATAATGCTGAGAATATCGTGAGTGTCAAAACAATTGCGTAGGCAAGGATCTGCTTATACCAAGGAAAGGGAACAAAAGACAAAGGAGAAACTCTCTTGCAGTGTTAGGAAGTTAATAGTSCTGCTGAAGTTACCTCAGCAGCAGATACGGAGATCAGGAAGCCAAATCCTGGAAGAGACAAACGGTTGAGGCCAAAAGGAGCCTGTGGACAGCATCATTGGACTGTGGGATACACGGAGAGCAGGCATCGGATGCAGGCCTCGGTCCCTAAGACTGTATGTGTGCTGGTAAGGCCAGAAACTGCTTATCTCCCTGGGAGGGAACGTGCTTTTCTCTCTGGAATGGAGCAGGAAGGATACGCGGAAGACACAAAGTGCCGGATCCTCTCCCTCCCGCCAGCTCTGGCCACAAAGCTGCCGAGGCTCCGGRGAAGTTGGGCAGGAGTGACCTGAAGGAGGACGTGGTGCAGCCTCACTCGAACAAGCCACTTAATTGAACTTTTGAGGCCAAATACCAGATTATTTACCCTCCTATTCTGCCAACATRAGGATGGGAGAAACTGGAGCCAGAATAGCCTATAGCCCTCGTGGGAATCACAGGCTGGAAGGAAGGCGGCAAAGCTCTCGGCTGAGCGCTCGCTGCTGCCACGCGGAGCAGCAGAGGAGGAGAGCACATTAACGAGAGCAAGACACCGCTGTCATCGGGGTGAAAAACATCTGCTGCTCCCTCTTGAAAGAATTTGGCCTCAAAAAATTGGCTTACYGTTTCCAGTGACCCAAACATGGAAGCCAGCGTAGCAGGGGGCAGGTGTCCCCTTTGCTTGCTCCTCTTTCTTCCCCATTATCCRCGCTGGGTGARGTTCCAGAGGGTCAGGAAGCAGGGCTTCTCTGGGTCAGGCTTTGCTTCGTGGCCTGCTCCTGGGAGCCTTTTAATGTGGCCCCGGAGTACAAGTGTAACATGGAATCTGTTTGTAAGCAKAAAARGAAGCCTGCACGGCTCTGTGAGTGAAAGTTAAATGGCTGGKGGATATGTGCTCAGCTGAACAAAACCAAGAGCAGTTTGGTTTTGACATGAGGAATTTRTSGCAGCTCTGTGGATGCAAATGCGTCGCCCCTGTTCGGTGCTGACTGCTCTTTTTCTGTCCTTTTCCGTTCCCTCCCTCTCTGCCTGCCCTGGGGAACAGCATAATGACCTGAATTAATTAAAGCAGAAAAACAGCTTTCTTGTTGCTGTTAAAAGAGCAGCGCTGCAAGAGAGGATGAATTGGCTTCAATCTTCACTGCCGCAAGGGGAATCCAGAGATTTGCAAGGGAGTTGGTGCTGCCTCATAACAAGACATGCAGTCTGGTAGAGGTGCTACACAAATATTCACAGAAAAACACAAATATTCACACAAAAATCTACAAGTTCTTTCTCCTCTCAAGCAACTTCACTTCCTCTTTGTCCAGCGTRCCTGAAGCCATTTAGAGATTCTGTCAGTTGTCCCTTTCTCCTCCTGTTATAATTGCTTTGAAGCAGGCTGAAATCAAGGGCATTTTTTCAGTAGGTTTTGGATCAGTCATTAATCTTAAACCAGTATAAAAAATCTGTATTTTACGAGTTTTCTCTAGCGACACATGTGTGCAGTCTTTGAGACCTGTGTATGAAAATTCYCTGGTTATTTCTATTTTTCCATGCCCCAGTGGGAAAGGTTTCTCCCTGCAGGCACAGTTCCACCATTTCAGTGCTTGGSGTGTAAAGCTGTGAATTTTACAACTACAGTGATTGCAGACACCAGTGTTTCATGCAAGACCAGCTTTTATTAATAGCAGCATTGGGGGTATTTGTATGTGCTGTTAGCAAGCAGTAAGAGTTTGCAGAATGTCCTCCCTCACGGTTTCGGAGCCACAGAAGTTGAATCTGCAGAAAACAAGAATAAACAAATGCCTTGAGTTCTCTRGAGTTGTTCACGTTGTACGGGTTAAACAGATACATCTACATGACTTGTGATGTGGCACAGCTCTGTTACCTGAAAAGAACACTATATACTTTGAGCTCCTAAATTTGAAATATTACTGCAGGTAGAAGTGTTCGTGCTGGTTGACTGCAGTTTGTTTTCTCTCCAGTCTGGATGCTACTGCCAGCGGCATGAGCGAGCAGAAGAGCGAGGGTGTATTGACTGAAACACTCTTCACTAGCAGGATGTTTTGGTAAATAAAAACTACACCACAACTGGGGCCCTCTGATCCGTGGTAGTGCTGCTGGGCTGAAACTGTCTCCTGTTTAACTAACTACATTTTAACTATGCATAAAACATTTTCTGTACCTTTTCCTCCGAGTCTGCAGTTATCGGGGGAATAAGCAAGGCCAAGCAAGTGAAAGGTTTTGTTTTAAAAAGTCAAGCGAATGAGCAAAGTTGGATCAGTAATGATGACTTAAATATGACTGTATTTCTGTAATCTGAGCACTCAAGCCACTATCCACATAAGTCTCCAGAAACCCTTCTAGGCCTGTTTCAACAGACTTTAGATTCAGTCTTTCAAGCAAAACTTCCAAGTATTAGCCCTGTTCACTGCAATGATAGGCTTGTTATTACCCTTCGAGTCCAACTCGATCTTAAAGGCCATCAATATGAGTGGAAAACTTCCACTGCTTTCAAATGACAGGGAGTCAAACATCCTAATGCAAGTGCAGATACAGATAGGCATTTCTGGTGGATGGGGAGTGGGAATTGGCAAGAACAGTGCTGAGAATTCAAGTCAGTACTAATTTTTCTTGCCAAAAAACTATACAGGAATTTTGTTTTTCTAAAGCACATATATATAAATATATATATATATATGCTATATATATATATATTTTATTGGAAGTTATTTAAGAAAATGGACAAAGTACTAGTAAATGGAATTATGGATTAATAATATTTTGAAAGGAAGGAAAGAATTTCTTTACAGTCTTTTTCTTTTAATGATTTAAAGAGCTTTTCACGTGCAAATGATTTTACTCCACATTTGTTTCTCTTCTCCCAAGTTACTTTTAAGATTTTTATAATGGATGTACTTACTGCTCTCCAGTTTCTCCAAACTGCACAGTGACTTTTGCAGCTCCTATTTTAGGGAAGGCTGGATTTACCCAGTTGTTGTTCCAGAGAAATTTAACCTTCGTGATCGCTCCAACATTATGTTCTGCATCAACTAAATTTGTGTAAGTACTGCCTGGCTTGAGGGATCCCCTTTGAAAATGAAAAGGTGATAGATATGAGGCATGCTGGTATAATTCAATATTCGTTATCAATCTGGTCAAGTGGTTGGTAGCATGTTAGGAGTATATTGGTAACATTGGTAACTGGAGTTACAATATGGTGACCAGGTTACTGCCCAATGTTTATTGGAAGCTGCAAAGGCAGGTGGGTCTGTTGCAATCTTAATTCACAGTGAGAAGCAAATCCCTATGGAGAAATACAGATTGCTCCCTGTTTATTATGTGAGCTGGGTTTTCACCAGGTTTACCTCACGTAATCCARTTTAGTGCTAATTGATTATATGAGCCAGAAGTTGGATTTGTTTGGGATGTCTCCCAGGAATTCCTGCACTTGGAAATGTGTGGCCAAATTGACCAACCCTCCATGCATGGATCACCAGTGCTATAATTTGGCCTATATAGCATAAACAGCTATTTAATTCTTGTCAGGACAGCACAGTAAGCTCTAAATGGCAAGAATTTGTGACTGTTAATGGCTTCAGCTACTAAAGGTTGCTGAATATGTCAATACTTCAATGCTGTTCCTTTGCCCTCACCTCCCATTCCCAGAGTCTGAATGTGAAGAGCTGCTTTCTAAAATTCACACCTGCTGTACCAAGCCAAGAGATATTTCAATGGAAAACACATTTACTGTACACATTTATACATTTATATCAGGACCTGAGGTCCAAATTTGCCCGAAAGATAGGACTAATATAATAATATTAAAAATACGAAGGAAAAAAAACTATACAAGAAATTATAATTTTAAACTTACTCGAAAATCTTGTGCTGCTTTGTGTTCCCGTTATTTCCGTACAAGGCAATATTTGCATATCCTGTTACTGTACTGCTTCCAGAAATTGTCACAGATATCTTGTACCTCCAAACTACACAAAGGAGATACAGAAAACTCGATTGTACCCACAGAAAATACTCTCCAAAACATCAAATCTTGGTTTTTTTTGATCAGTATCCTACACCCACAGCTCAAGGCCACATCTCAGGCTGACTGGGATGTTCTCACAGGYGAATCTTTCTGCTCCCTGTTTTCCATTGGGTTATGACCGTGCAGAGCACATGTAAAATAGCAGGAATTTCAAAAGAGAAATGGGATTGCCTGCCTGCCCCCAGCCTTCTCTTCTCAGGATGAGGCAAATCCAGCTCTCTGGCACCTCTTTGATGTGTCCCAGCCTCCTAACATCCTTGTGGCCTCCACTTGCTACTCTCTAGCTTGTCAGCACTACTTTTGTAGTGGAGGGCCTCAAACTCAAAATTGATATTGGGGCAGAAGAGGAAATAACATGAGGACCTGCCATTGCACGGTTCTAAGGTCTGTTAAAACAAATTGGAAAATGAGGGTTACAAGGACCAGGTAGCAATGGAAAGATGCAAGACTTACGAGGGAAATTTTTGTGCTCTGCAGTATTCAGGTAAAGTTTTGTGATGCCATTTCCAACTTTCCCTTTGAATTTATCTGCATAGTGACCCATATTTGGGCATCCTCCTTTTGGACACGGGAAGCAACTTTCCTAGTGAAAACAAGCAGATTAATAAAGTTTACCAACATAGCGAGAGAAAAAGAAACAAACAAACAAAAAAATCCCTCAGTCATACACCGTGTTTTAGCATGCCTATTAAATAGGTTCTGAATTACAGCAGCAACAAATTTCAAATAATCCTTTTAATAACCAGGAGAAGCTCACCTAAGCTACCCAACTTTCTTGAAATCGCAAGTTTTTCAGGATTTTTTCAGGATTTGTTTTTTCATGAGTAAGCAGGAACTAGAGTGTGGAACATGGGGCATCCTGCCCAGCAACTCTTCAATGAGAAAGGAAGAGTCTCCTTACATTTTCCGGGTGGGTCAACGGGTGCTCTCCTTTCTCTGTGCTTTGTCTTAACACCTTTTTGTCTTTCTGGGGACAGAAGCTGTCGTCTTCTCCCCACAGATTGGTCTGAGGAGCTTCTATCTGCAGTATTGAAGATRCCCCTCACTTCTATCACAAACACGCTCCCTGAGTGCACACTGGCATGGAGAGGTTGAACTTCAGGTGCACAGTTAAGAGCCACTGTTTTTGAAGGGGCCCACCCTGAAGGTCTGGAAGAATACTTACTGTTTTAAAAGTATCATAGGAAGCACAAGCGAAGCCTAGGAATCCATTGGGGTAGATAATACTATCAGAGTAATACTTGTAACTCCTCAAATGGTTGCAAGCCACGAAGTCCCGAGTTCCTGTGAAGAGATGCTCCCAGGTTAGTTCTTCATTCCTGTCATTAGATGCTAAAGGGTTCTGGCAGAGCACTTGCCACGTCATTTGAGTGCATTCTACAGCCCCAAGAGCTCCATTCCAATTCCTGGAGTATCAAATTTGAGATTTGAACCTTGTTTTTGTGATGAATTGGTGCTGCAAGGATTGCCGTGGACTCAACAGGTAAAAAATGCAAACTTCAAATTCATTATAGAGAAATACAGCTCAGCTCATCCCCTTTCTGTCCCCTCACAAACACTTACTCAAGGAATCTGAGTTTCACAAAGGAAAYGAGGATTGCATGAAAACAGATCTTTTGTAGGCAACAGCTTGAATTACGATAGCAAAAAGAAACCAAATGAAAGGTATTTAAAAATGAACTTCCTTGGTCAATGCTGATTTATTCCAGCTGAGAAGTTAAAAACAAAATTATTACTATTATTTGGAGGATGTTTAAGAAAGGGAGAATCTCAAAATTGAAATAATGAACAAGTTATTTCYAGAGAGTTCCTTAATTTTCCTGACTCCAGAGTCTAAAGATGGTATAGATGTGATATATGACACAAGTATTTCTTTGTGCTTTAGTTCCCATTATCGATAACAATAAAAACTGCAGCTGAAGTTGCCTAATCCAAGTAGATGTGAGGATCACTGGTCTCCTCCATCCACTACTGCTGCTTGGTAACTAAATAAGAGAAACAAATGTGTTGTTACAGACTGTTCCAAAATTYGGCCCAGTTTAAGGAGTGTTTGTTTTTGCTGTTGGCAACTTCAGGGCAGAGGTATTTTGTAGAAGCAAACCCCTTGCATTACCCACTTTTGGATCCCTGTGTGGGAACAGGTTCTTGAATAGGTTCTGATATGTCTGAACATATTAAAAATTTCTCTGCACCCAGTGGCTGTCATTGACAGATCCAGCAACAGCTAATAGAAAAAAAAACACTTGAAATAAGAAAAGTTAAGGCRTTATATTTTGAGAGTGATCTTTTTCTGAAACAATGTACGTACCTTCCCAGATGCCATCAAGGTCTACAATCTGTGAAATGGGATTCTTGCCACATCCTGGCATTTCCCTTCCTCCATTTGGATAGAAATCAAGATGTCCAATAGCTGTGCTCATTCCAAAACCTGAAGTTTATAAAGCAAGGGTAAGCACATATTAAATGAATGTTGTCTCATACACACAGCTGTTGGTATGAAGTCAGTCTGTAGTACTTTAAAATATGATCCGTTAGTGCCCAGAATGGTATTTTTCTTTTATGCCCGGTGCCTCACACTACTAGCATGGGTAATTGAGGTTGTAGATACTGTAGAAGATAAATGAATAAGTGATAATGCAAAATGCTCACCCAGGTAGGGGATAGTGGGAGCTGTATCTGTGTGAATAACATCCACGAATTCCGCATCAGACTGATCCAGCCTGACTTCAATTGGAGTGTCTTGGAAATATGGTTGAGCAGGATCCAGACCTGAAAGGAAAATATTTGTGTTATATACAAATAATGAGATACATATGAATCATTCTGTGTAAGTGTATGATTGTATATAACTAATGTCACATTTATAGCTCTATATGGTTCCATATACCTAAAGAGTATAAGCGTTAACAAAGGAATGGTATGTTGGCAATGAGGGTGGAATACCAGGCAGGAGAAACACTGATGCATATGGAACCAACTGAATTTTACCGATTTACATCAATATTGAATTCCAACACCTGAATATCAGCTATTATTTTGGGGAAAGTTTAGCTAGGAAGAAAAAGTTGCCCAAATGGAGGTTACTGCTTCAGCATCCCATATAGCTCATCTCAGTGGTTTCTAGAATACCTTGAATAAATCCAGGACTGTCAAGTCCTTGAACTACTGAAAACCGGTATGTCTACTTGTGGTCCAGATTTTGGAACCTTGTTTTCCAGTGTCTAGTTTGGAAATCATGATCTTTGCTTTTGATTCTAGCATGAAATGTTATTCATTTGATCCCTAAATTGCTGCAGCAATTTCAGGAGCTTGTTGAAAGTCTTGCAAATTACAAAACATATATTAGCTTATAATTGCATCTCTCATTGTTCCTCGGGATTAGATTGGGTTTTGCTTTTAGACTGAATTTGACAGAGTATTTGGCAGACTATATGATAGCAGCTCTTTTCAGTTTATTTCATGGGAGAGTACTGAATGTGTTTTAAAATACTCAAAATGCAGTCTGTGCTTTGTGAGGCATCTTGAATTTCCTTTTTAGAAATGCATATATCTCGTAAGAAATAGGCATATTCGGTGCCATTTGTTTTTTCTAAGTGTAACTCAAAAATGTAAGGCAGACAAGAGCTTTCTTACCAGTGATTCTTCCAATCCCCGGCCTCCTTTTCCCAGCTTCACCTGCCACATGGGCTCCCAGGCTGTGACCTATTATGTGGACATTGCTTGCAGAGTATCCAAATTGTTCCTGAGGAAAATAGTAATGTGAAAAAGAATTAGGTTTCCATTTCCATCATCAATAGGAAAGAGTACAGAAGTGCCAAAAAGTGGCTCTTAGTTTGGTTATGGACTCAGGGCCCAGTCTGCAGACTTTCAGCCTTTGTTTGCTGGTTTAGGTACTTATGTGTCTCAGTTTCTTGGCCCTTTACCCAGCTGTTGCCATGAGAAGGCAGTTTGCCCTGGTGATTATTTCTGCATGCAAAACTCTGTACATCTGCTAACAACTAGGGAGTAGCTGTTCAGTACAACTATGGGGGTAACTGGTAGAAATTCCTATCTATCAGTTACCTAACTCTGCTATTGTATTTTTGTAACACAGAGAAAAAAATCCAAGTYACTGTTTTCTGCAGAACTTCTCAAATAATCCCTGAGTAGTGAAATACGGTGGGTTTTTTTGTCTGATTACATGGGTATTGCATGCTTAAATATTGCTGAATCATATGTCTTTAAAATCAACATTCTGAATACAGCTTTGCAAGCAGGATGCTCTTACCATAAGCACATTTACAAAGTAGGCTATTTCAGCACCTACGACACGGATGTTGTTTGACGCCTGGGTGTACTGACATCTCGAGCCTTTTTTCCAGTCCACGCAGATACAATTCACATCTTCCACTGTCAAAATCCTCTAAGGTTGTAAGACAAAAAGAAAAACTCAGCAGTTCCACAGCAAATACAAGCAAATATTGATTTACTTTGCTTATTACTGCCAAGCTCATAACTGCTCTATCAATATCTGCAAAAACAATGAAATAAATGAACACTTAGCGGTGTCTGTGGCCTGCTCGCACACGGGTACGTGTTCTCACCCAGTACTGAAATAGGCTGATACCCTGCAGGAATGGCCACAGAGCTAAAAAAAAGCAGTAGTTGCTGAGGGGAAATAGGAGGAATGCTGGTACTTTCATGTTTCAACTTCCATCAAGCTMTACATGCAATGCTAAAGAAGAAATCTACTCAAATCCTGATTGACTTAAGTGATTTAAAAGTACATCTTTAATTATCTAATCAATTAGATACTTCATTGTCTGCCACGGAATCTGAAGCCTCTGAGCTGCCTTGCTTTGTTAAGTTCATGTACTTTTCGCAGCTTTGATAATATTTATTTTATTTTCCTTTAAGTAGAGACCTAGAAAAGCATGCAAAGTCAGTTAACAACGGAGTAGCGAAGGACAGAGAAGGCAACAGATGTGTCTATGAATATGATAGAAAAGGTAAAAATAAAGATGCACATAGGTTTTGCTTAATAAGAAGGAGAACAAAGAACACATATACATAGGAAGGCTGAAGCACTCATAACCTTTTTTGCTCCATTCTTCGTCTAAAAATATTCATTAAGCCTGATTTTTTTTTCCCTATAGATTGGAATATTGTGTTAAAATCTCAGGCCAGAATAAGGAAAGAAATTAAAGATTTATTTCCAGTGTGCCTAATAAAAAACAATCAAAAGGATTTAAGGGGACTAGCTGAAGTAAGAGCGAGCTATTTGTAACCRTCATTTTGATTGTGCGGTTCCAGAGAAACAGCAGAAGGCAAAACAAAATTCTGTTTTGGTAGGCTGGAAAATAAGAGACTGAAAATTCTAAAATGTCCATCTAGTTAYGATACTTAAATCAGATCATGAAATAATAAATCCAACAAACATTCCTGTATGTATGTAAGTGATAATCAAGAGAGATTTTTCAAAGAGACTCTTTCAAGCACATATCATTTCTTGTCTTTTGTCAAAAAAGACGAAGTATTAGTTGTGTGGATAGTTAACTATAAAACCATACCCAGAAGGTATCATAAGCTGTATTTTGTTCTATGCTCCTTGAAGTTCCTTGCTTTCATTAGCCATTGGAATAGAAGGCATATTTATAGGATTTGAGAAGACATCAAGTCCACAGGAATTGCAGCAGGACATGGGGACAGGATTAAGAAATAACTCAACGAATTGGGGAATCGATGCAACATCAAAGTATTTTCTACTTCATCCACTATTTACAGCAACTGCTCRTTCGAATGCTGTTGTTATAAATGCTTTTCTGAGGTCCTGTCTGGCTAGGGTTTTGACTGTTGCTTGTTAATCCATGCCTTTAGCTTCCAATAAATGCCTGGCAGTCCATACTCTGCACCTAGAAACCTGCCTCTTGGCTGCAGAAGTACAAAGCGATCGTTATTTCTGCAGTTATTTTTGTAATCTCCCTCATCAACATCTTGTCTAAGAGTTTGTGTAACTGTTTTGAGTGTAAAAATATAGCCTGATAGCGCAAACCCATCTCACTTCATTTATGAATATCGTGCATTTTGCCTGCAACTTTTACCCAAGAACTGCATATTTGAGTTCCAGACATTAAGGTCATTGCTTCCTTCTTATCAGTACAGGGGGGGGGAAAAAAAAAAAAAAAAAGCTAGAAAAAATAGAAAATTTATAGGAATGTATTATAAACTCATGCTAAGAAAATTCAGAAGGCAATTTCCATATAGTACGTACCCTGCACAAGTCTGACAGCCAGTTTTCTTCTCCTTTGTCGATAAATCCATGTACGATAAATCTTGTTTTCTTGTTTACGTCAAAATTTGATTGCCGGATTGTTGTTGGATTAGTTGCAGAGATATCCTGTTGTGGATATTGAATTATTAAACATTTAAATCTGTTTTTTTGTAAATTTGCTTATTGAAATTGTAAAGGAAACAGAAAAAACTTGTTGTTATTGAAGACTAGAACTTTGCTCATTTAAATATTATGTACCACTAAGCATGTTTGCAAATATTCCCTTAAGGTCTGCATCTCCATTCAAACAAAACGTTTTGCCACATATCTTGGGGCAGCCAAGGCTTTACTTTTAGTATGTTTTCCTCAAAAATGGAAACAGTTACTCAACAACTGCACAGATGTACAGTTTCCTAGTACTTCTCAGTGGTGTTACAGAGAAGTGGGAGTTGCTTCATGAGCACTGGTGGAGTTCCTTTGCTGTAGCAAAAGAACCGTCAGTGCAAATTCTGCCCACGGACTTTTCCAAGGAGCTGGAAAAGGTTGTCCCTTGAGCAAAAGTGCAGAGATGGCCATTTCTAACGTTCCCCAGGAATTCTGTTATCTTGAGCCTATGTTTACATGCTCTCTCTGCCTGTAATCTGACAAGGTTTAAACCACAGCCGTTCTTACTTGATAGTTATCAGAATTTTGCTTTGTGTAGAGAAGGAAGCGGGTGCTTATTGTTTCTGGACTCCAGGGTAACTTGTGGATGGGTCTTTCCAGAGTCCCAGACCAGGGCACATCATCAGTGAAGCATCCTACCCGATCGTAGCAGACCTCTTTGCCTGTAGCATGCAGATGAGATATTAACATGGGAGTGAGTGAACAACAGCATCTTCTCTCTAGGAGCCACTTGAAATCAAGATGTTGAGTGCATTCCTGTGCCCTACCTTAGGTGTTCCAAGATATCCTGCCTTGGGTATCTTTTGCCTCAAACCAGGACAGCTGATCATTTTCTCCTAATACTGAGCCAAGATACTGGAAATAATAAGCAGGAACCTGAGACTGTGCTGAGCAGATGACTACACTGCTCATGAAAATTGTCATAAAAACCAGGGCCTTCTGCAGGATATGGAGCTATATCCCCACTGAGCCCTCCCCTCCTGGCATTTTCTGCATTTCCAGCACTGAAGCAGAGCACACAGAAGTCTTTCCTTACACTTTGGTCTGACAGAGAATATAAGTGCAGTAAGTTTGATTTGAGACAGAAAATATCTTATCCTTCTAATTGCATGGCCCTGGGGTAGGATTTCCAGAGTAGAGAACAGAGAGGACAGACCCACTCATCTCACACAACACACCCATCTCTGCTCTTGCACCTGAATGAGTACAACGTGACCCATCAGCAAGCGGAGAGACACCAGAGCACAAAACAATTCAAGAAATACAGCAGTGTGGAAAGTCTACATGAAAAGCAATCCTGCCTTCTTACCTGTGGCTGTGCCAAGCAGGAACACTGCAAGTATCCAAATTCCAAACATCTACAACAATAARAAAGAAACAGCAGGATTTGCTACCYTGTCAGATTAGCAAGCTCAAAGCTCATTGTTTAAGTCTGGAGTGACCCTCTGCAGTCAGGGCTGCACTGCTACTGGGATGCATTTAAAACAAGCACAAACATTTCAATGTGAGGATTGCATCTACTGACGAGGCAATAAAATCTAAGACCCAACTACTTACGGTGCAGGCTTGAAGCTCCATGCACTAAGTAACAAACTTTGCATGCACTTTTATATTATGCTTTATCCTTGGATACATTCCCAGAAAGATATGAAAATTTATTTATTTCAGATTATAGTTTATATTTAAGTTGGTAATTGCTGTAACAAATCCAAGATACATAGAGATAGATTTCTTGAGTTTTTGTTTTGGAGGCCAGGTTAGGACAGCAGGTCCAAAAGTAGGGAATTTGAGTTAGAGCTTTCCTAAGAAGCCACATACCATTGAAGTGGGTCTGAGTGGCTCTGCATTTAGGAGAGTCTTTTAGTTGGGATGCCTTTGTCTTTTGAGAGTGTTGTGTGGTTTAGGTATCGGGCGCAACTAGAGACTTAGTGGGGGAGCACATAGGCTTTCACTTCCCTGCCCTCTGTGACATGAATTTGGATGTGAAATGTTCCTAGGCTTCCAGGTCCTTGGTGGCCATTTTCTTATACCTGCTCAGTTAAGTTAAGACTTATCCCTTTGGGGAACCAGGTGAATGTTTTCATAGTGAAAGAGGACAATCTCCTGCTGTCCCTTTCCTTTGCTCATTGAAATACTGTGATATAGAACAATAGTCATCTGATCCTTTGAACTCTTTCTTTACTCCCCATATAACCAAAGCTTTGAGAAAATTTCCATTCTGTGAAAATACACAGCAGGAAAGCACAGAATTCYCCCGAGCACTGCAAACTGGTGGCTTTGCATTGTGAAGTTTTGTAKCAGGACTGCAGGAGTCAGGAGGCCCTTCTGTAAAAGACATGAGCTAAAAGATGAAACTGAGTTCTGCGCAAATRGRCTGGGTCACRGAGCCCCTCGGCATTATGACCCCCTAGGCCATTCCTAGGAGAAGAGAGAGCATAAGTGGACCCAAGAGGAAAAATGACCTGTGTTAATTGAGCATCTGAAAGGCTTTGGCAATCTGGCATGCGTTTTGGCTATGGTTATTCTAGAGCTAATATTTCCTAATCTCTGTTTGTGTGAAAGACCTAATGGATATCAGCTGTGTACATGTGTATCTCRATGCTATCATGCATAATATTTTTAAGCAGTAGTACAGATCCTTAATTTTTTAAAAGCATCTCTTTTGAGCTGAGTTGTCCCATCCTAAATTGAAGTAATGTAATAGTTTGAAGATAAGTCCACATCAATGGCCCAGGAGACTCTGCAGATGCCCTAGTAGAGTGCTGAGTTTTCTTAAATACTAGTTCAAACTGAGGATGGAACAGCCTTTCCCATGTATCTTATGAGCAGATGGAAAATATTTGGGTTAGGGTTTTATCATAAGTAACCTTAAAAGAAAAATTGCCTGAAACAGCCATACAAGAGCGGTGGGTTTGACCTTCTGCAGGAAGGCTGAACGCTCTCCCGGAGCTCCGGGTGCTGCTTCCTGCTGTTGTCAGCCCTTCCATTACCACCTGCGAGATCTCCGAGTGAGCTGCAGTGCTCAGGATTGCAGGAACCTTCTAGATTGAGCTCCAGATTGGTGTTTAAGTACGTTTTTAATTTTGTGCAGCCTTTGTTTACAGTATGATTGGAACARCTTGCTGAAGAGTATACAAGAGTTCTTTTTGTTTAAAAGAATTTTTGTTTCATTCAAATATTTATACTCATTAGAAATATATTTTTAATATTATATTTTTGTAGATATCTTTTGGAAAAAAATTTATAGACCCAAATTTGTGTTCATTATTTTTGAGTGGAAAAAAATAAACAATTAATTCATTTTCTGTTTTCTTTCTGCTCATTAATTTAGAATTTGTTGTTTATTCTTGAAAGAATATCCAATGCCTCAGTCTGCTAGAGCTTTAAGTGACTTGGATAAGTCATGCTTTGCAGAGAAACAGGGTTCATTTTCATGTGAAACAGCCAATCCCAGTATTTATAAGAAAATGGAGTTATTCAGGGTCTTTTTAGAAAGGGATTTTAAGCACAATTCTTAGGACCAGGTTCTTTTCTGGTGGAAATGGCTTAGTCAAACTATGTGGTACTGTGCTGGTTAGATATCTAGATTAAATTGCATACTTTCTCCATTTTATATACATATATAGTATATAGTATGTGCATATATATAGTGTATTATGTATATATAGTGTACATGTGTTTTTACATATACATACTCCTTCAAGAGGTTGAACTAAGTGATCTAGGATATCCATACATTTATCCATGAAACAGTGAAATGTAAAGGATGGCTGCTACCCATGAAGAATTACAGAATGGTTGAACTTGGAAGGGACCTGTAGAGGGATGGTGTGGGTATGCATAGAGAGAGATTGCTCCTAGTATTTGCAAGGCTGGCATTTTAATTTAAGTGAAGATGCAGTATGAGTTCCAGAAAAAGGAATTAATTTTCGACTGTTGTGAGGTTCTCAAAATAGCTAAGTAGCTTCTGCTGCCATCATCTTTTGGGTTCACATTTTTTCTGGTGTGGAAAATGAAAAAAAAAAAAGAGCTAAAATTATATGTCTTTTTGTGTATGATTCTTGTTAGCCATGACAAAAAATATCAATTGGAACTAGAAGAAGGTATAAAAAATGCTAGTGAACTTGAAAGCTACTTCAAAAGTAAATTTAAAAGTTTAAGAATAAATTTTCCTKTAATAGCCACGTGTACAAACATTCCTGTTTTTAAGATTGTTTACCCAGCTGCAGAGTGGAGAACAGTTGTACCTAATGGCTCCTAGCAAGGTGTAAGTAACTGGGGAACTCCATATGTCACAGTTCCATGGCCACAAAATGTTGATCTGGGAAGGGAAACAGGCTTAGTCAATATTGTTCTTTTTTTTTTTCTCAACCAAAAACAAAGAAAGAAGGACGAGTGTCAGCTGCTAATTTGAAGGTTGTCAGTTTGACCTATAAAACTACTTAAGCCTTCCTGAAAGTGCAGTGCAATTTGTATAGTAGCAGGAACAACGTGCTCTTTTGGGGTAGGTGGGGACAATAAATTTTGGGTATATGGGTATATATTTTGGGTGTATATGGGGGTATATATGGGTATATATATTGGGTATATATTTTGGGTATAATGAAATTCTTCTATRCCTTCACAGCAACAGTGCTCTAGACAACCCATCAGGAGGCCATCTTGTTAAGCTCCCTTCATTGAGACCAGCTGTCTACCTAACCCTACCAAAGCTCTGCAGCTTTTCCCAGCAGTTCACAGTGAAGGAGATTTCATCAGCTTTCCTAAATAACCCATGTTGATATGTGATTATGAGGTTTTTTGTTTTTTTTCCTAATATTCAAGCTGTTCAGATGTTTTCTGTAAAAGGTTTTTACTTACCTATGTCCATCTTCTCCATGAGTTATATTGACTGTATCTGCCCCCAGTCTTGCCCAAAGCAGAGTGAATGGAGTTTTAATCCAGAGAAATTCAACTTTTTTAACAAGWTTCGGGTTAATTTCAACATCAAGGTATTTTGTATAAATTTCATCTTGAGAAAGGACTCCACTGCAAATAGAATGAAGACATCAGTGCTAACAGAAATAACTTGGAGGTCATGTTTCAAAACAGAGAGAAAATATTGTCGATTTTGGAAATACGCATTTACCTGCAATGAGAAGCTCAAACTCCATTTTTTTTCAACCATGCAATTAAATCATTGCATCCAGGCATGGCATTTCCTCCGCTGGGRTAAAAGTCAAGGTCACCCGTGGTGTTAGATATTCCAAACCCTGAGATACACAGGTGATGATGTTAGTATTTTAAGAAACCTCCCGACTTGCCCACGTCTGTGGATATTTGCTCTCACACGAACACTTSCCTGTGGCAGGAAATTGCCTGAGGCAACTTCCAGCTGTCTGTAGAAGGCCTCATTAACTTCCTCATCCTGGTGAGGTGGCCTCTAGCAAACACCCACCACAGTGCCTCCCACATTGGCCTGCCCTTTAACCCTTACCCACAAGCTCTCAACTCGCTCATCATCCACCCCCAGGTTGRGCTCCATGCATTCCAGTTGCTCTCTCACATAAAGAGTGACTCCACCAGCTCACCTTCCCAGCTTGTCCTTCCTGAAAAGCACATAGCCTTCCATGACAGCACTCCAGTCATGTGAACTGTCGCACCATGTCTCTGTACTTCCTGTAAGATCATGATGCTGGGATGGCACTTTGATCTCCTGTTCATCCTGTTTATTCCCCATGCTTYGTGCATTGGTGTAAAGAAATTTAAGGGAAGTAATCAAGYCTGAAGGTTTCCCGGAAAGGGTGATAGAGGATCCTCTTTAACCATCCTATACTCACTTCACCACTACCATACTCCCATGGGGCACCTTCTGACTTTGGCTGCATGACATTGATTGCCCTGTCTATTTAACACTCACTCCCCTTCCCCCTTCTTGCTTAGTTTAAAGCCCTCCTAATGAGGCTGGCCAGCCTTTTGGCAAAGACACGTGCCCCTCTTGCTGAGGTGGCTCTCATCATTCCCCRCTAGGTGGTGGTCCTCAAACAGAGACCCATGGTCAAGGAAGCCAAAACCCTGTTGCCAAGACCAACGGCCTGGAGAACAAGTGACCAACAGCCAGCTGTTAACCTGAAATACCATCTCCTCCTTGAATCCATTCCCCCCATTGGCAGGATAGAGGAGAACACCACCTGGCCTCCCAGACCTTTGATTGCCCTCCCTAGGCCTAAGAAATCGTGTTTGATGTTGCTCAGTTTCCCCATGACATCATTAGTGCCCACATGAAACAGTAACAGGGGACAATGATCAGACTCCCAGACAAGCCTTGGCAGCCTCTCTGCAACATTCCTTATTCGAGACCCGGGCAGGCAACAGACCTGTCTGGATAAGGAGACGGGTSTACAGATTGGTGCCTCCAAGCCCTGCAGCAGGGAGTCACCCATGACCATCCCTTGCCGCTTCTTCCTGCTGCTCCTTTTCTCGTTAGGGACAGCAGCCTTAAGGCGCGTAACGCTGAGCGGAGAGAGAAGAGTGACTGCACGAAAGCACAATTCTCCTTTTGACCCACAGAGAAAGAGGTGCCTAATGAAAATATAGGATCCCGGACAGCRTGAAGGTAACTGTCTGATCAGATAATGGAGTTGTTTKCAGTGATAAGAATGAATCCATTACTAATGCAAATAACGATAATAATTATAATTTGCAATACAGTAAGAATCACCTAGTCTACCTCCTCCTCTGACAGGAGACTGTATAATAAATTATAGGCTGAGGGAAAAAAATCAAAGGGATAAAGGTTAAAAGATTAAAAAAAAATCTGAAACTTAAATGCTTAACAGGGAAGTCAAGGCCTGAAAGCAGAAATTGGTGCTATTAAATAAAGCAATTGTGAAGAATGGGATATTATGGAATTGATTAACAAACCAGAAATCAAACCTTTCCTCCTATCACTACCTCTTGTCATAGATTTCAACAATTTTGAAAGAACAAAAGATTAAGTTGGCACATAATGAAAAAATAAATTATTTAAATGTGGGTGAATATGCTAATAATGCTCTAGGAAGATTAATATAATGTAACACAGAAAAATCCCCCAGGACAGCTCAGTAAATTAGGGGAATTTCACCGGTTCTTTCTGCTTTGCGTTGGTATCCAAAACAGGTTCAGTCGCTCCATCACTCCTGACCAGGCCTGGGGCAAAGGACCTTTGCAGAYCGTGCATTTCTGAAYGGTAGCTCTTTTAGGGGTTCTCATACCAAACTTCTAAACTCCTATGTGTGGGATTTGGGGCACAGGACATTTCCTTTGACCTTTGTAGGGGAACAGATAAGAGAGATGGAATAAATCTTAAGTTTCTGAGTTTATACTACACATACCTGAAAGTAAGCTGCTCTGTTGCTTAGTTCTGCTTCTTCCTTAAGTTAGGCAGAGCTGACAGTATTGTTATATAGGATTTTCCATACCTTGGTATCATCTCACCAGCTTATGAGGCTAGTGAAATGCCAAGAGGTAGATCAATGGGAATCTATCAAGTATGTG